TTTTGATTGGCTGATTGAAGAACGGATGATCACGGAAGTGATCTGCGATTTGTGTAACCTTAACGGTCGCTCCTGTTAAATGATCCGCGATATAATAAAAGTTCCGAAATTTTCCGCACATATAGTGAGGGGGGTAACGTAAACCACCGAATTAAATTGGTCTGGCCTAACTTAACGATAATTTACTGCGGTAACTTACCACGGTAAGTTATTACCAACAACCCTTGCTTTGGTCGTTGTTAGTATTTAGGATTTGGAGTTGAAAGGTAAACATAATTCTGCCTAGAACTATGGAATAATTTTAAACAATGAAATGGTTCCAATCTCTAGTGTAATCAATCGTGAAAATTTAATTTTTATTTGTTTCAATTTCTACACAAAGAACAATTCTAATGATTTCTGCTGCATATTAGATTTCATTGGTCAGCTAAATAAAATCTTCATTTTTTTTATGTAATTTCATTTCAATATTTTCAGATCCCAGAGACTGGTGGGATTTAAAAATTAACTAGACCTTTATTAAGACATCTTGTTCAAAGTTTTAAAACCAATTAATAATTATCATATTAACCGGATATAAACATTGACGAATTCACATTAAATTATTTAAATAATTCTTTTTACATTACAATTTAATGACTATTGCTAACTTGCCTCCGGGGTAATTTCACCTAGTTACATGTCAAATCACTGGATCTAACAAAGCGAAAAAAAAACCAATAACGCAAGATTTTATTACTGTATTATGAAAACTATGTTTCATTTTTCAAAAAATTTTATAATGCCGGGTTGTACAGTATCACTACGGGTGAAATTATAATCCAATTTACTATTTAAACTAAAAATTTTGTTCTTGACCATTTTTTTAATTCATTATTTGTTACCGTATCAATTTGGTTGTATGCTAGATCTATATTTCGAATAGATGCATTAATTTCTATAGCTTTGTCAAAACTGCTGCCATTTCGATAAGCTTTTTATTCTTCCCTCATGCTTTAACAAAAACTATTCCTGTTTCAGGATCATTTATTGTTTCACTTAGATTATAGATGCTTGACGCAACTGATGAAGCCTGACGAAACCTTGACGCAACTGACGAAACCATAGGTTGCGTTACTGACGCATGACGCAACTCAACTATATGTTTTTAAAGGGCACGTGAACAGTTGCGTCAGGTCACGTGAATTTAGAGGCTTATTATTAATTTCTAAAGCCTTCGCCAAAGTTTCTCCTTCGATATCGAGATCTTTATGACTTATATTTTTGTGAGTATCTTATTTATTTCTAAAGCTTTCATTGAATATTATTATTAGATCATAAATTAGAAATAGTATAATCTTTCAGTAAAGCATTTTCCAGAGCCTTTATTGCAGATAACAGCGACTTAAATTTAAAATTTTGAATTTTCGATTTTTTTTCCAATGAATTTTTCAATTCTTTTCCCACTTCCCCAACTTCTACAATGTGGCTCAAATCCAACTCTTCAAGAGATTTATTTTCTTCTAAAGCTTCTACTAAAAATACTATTGAATCTTTGCTAATTTCATTACTACTCAAATTTAAACTACCGAATTTGATTTATTGGTTCTTAATTCTTCCGTTAAGGCTTTATCAGATCTTCGATCTTCGTTGATTTGTATTAATAGGACTATCTTTTAAAGCTTTTAATAAATCTTCTCCCATTTCGGAAGCGATTTGATTGCACTTTAAAGCTTTAAATAACTTTCGTCCAGCTTCAAGATGAATATAATTGAGGCTGAGATCCAATCTTTTAAGTGTTTTATTTTCTTGCAATGCGTCCCCAAACTCTTTTAAATTAAAGAGCAGAATGTGTCATAATCAAGCTTGTCCGTTAAACTAGCTGATTCTTTTTTCTGAGATCTGTGCTAGTACGTTGGACTTGATGATTCTTTTTTCTGAGATTTGTGCTTGTCCGTTAAATTGATTCTTTTCTCTGAGATTTGTGCTTGTCCATTAAGGCCAGACCAAGTTAATTCTCTGTTTTACATTACCCCCACCCCTTCCCCAGAGTTCCCCCCTCTCCCTCATAGTAAAAAAAATTAGATAAATATATATAGGACTTCGAACTATTTCGGAAAATTTTTATATAGTCACGGAACAATTCGGAAAAAATTTTTTTTGAAACAAAAATTTTTTAAAATTTTACTATGTAAACCACCCCTCCCTCCCCTCCCCCGGAGGGGAGAGGGGGGTAATGTAAAACAGAGAATCAACTTGGTCTGGCCTAAACTTGATGACTCTTTTTCCTGAGATTTATGCTTGACCGTTAAACTTAATGATTCTTTTTTCTGAGATTCTAACCCTATTTGACAAATTAATTTTATTTGAGCTCAAGTTTAAAGTTTTTTAAGGGTTTTATTTTCTGTCAAGATTTTTACTATAACTTTTTCTGATCGAAATGTAAGATTATTTGAACTTAGATTCTATTCTTCAAGATTCTTTTAATTTTATCAAAAACTTTTCTGATTTTGCTATTACTTTAAAATCAATATTACAATTGTTCAGATTCAAATTTTTAAGAGTTGTGTTATTGTTTAAAGTTGCCGAATTGTTATTATTAAAACTGTCGAATTTATTTCGGGCCAATCAATAAAATTGTTGTTCAAATTTAAGCTGACAAATGTTATATTTTCATCAAAGTTTTCACTAAAGCTTTTCCTTCTACACAATTTTGTTTATAAATATTATTACTTAATTCTAAATCAGCAAGGCGGTTCTCACTAGTATTTAAATCTCTTAACAATTTATTACTTCAGGCTCAAGACCAGTCGATTTTAAGTTTAAACTAGTGTAGTTTTTAGAGCATTTACAATACTTTTTCCCATTTCAAGACGATTATAACTTAAATTTAAGCTGATAATGGGTTTATTTGTTTTTAAAATCTTTATCAAAGCTGCTTCTATTTCAGCATCATGTTTCATTGGGGTGTTCGGTATACTATATAAATCAGAACTATATGTGGTCATATAATAAAATTTATTAATGAAGATTTTTCGACAGTTGATAATTTTATAATAATTATTATAAAAATATAAATAGATGCACAGCTTTAACGGTTCGATAGATTTGGTCAAAATTTTGCAAAGACCAGTATTTCATCTCTACAAACAAAGTTACAGAGCCATTTCTTGAAAAA